TGGTGAACGTGTCGCTTTGAACCCGGAGCGTCCGCCGATGACCCGTGAAGATCTCAGTGCCGGCATAGACAATTTCAGGTTCGACCGATTCGGCCTCAGTGTTGACCGAATCATCGGCTACCAATTGAACCGCGACGGCATCACCTTCGGCCGGTTGTTGGCCATCATCAATCGTCGACGTGGCGCTCTCAGAAATCTCCCGTACGATCTCAACGAGATTCTCCTCATCGATCGCACCTTGCCAAACTCGATGTTCATTGTGATTACGGTCTAGAAATACCGTGGTCGGATACGAGAAGATGTTGTAACCGATCTGAATCGCCGAACCGTTGTCCGGCAATCCGGGGTACGTCACTCCCACTTCTTCGAAGAGTGCCGCACCGTCTTCAATCGAGTCGAGGCCGAGTTGTTGAATGCCGACAAACTCGACGTCACCGCCGGACGGTGCCCCGAATTGTTGGTAGACATCTTCGAAATGCGCCAACTCAGCGCGGCACGGCGGGCAAGAGGGGAACCAGAAGTTGATAACGATCGGTTTGCCGGCCAGTTCGCTGGTGTCAAAAGTCCCATGAGCGAAAGTCGTGCCTTGGAAACCTTTCAAGTCTCCGAGCCCGTCGATTACCGACGATTCGAAGGAGTCGGGCAAACCCATTGGTTCCATCTCCGTTGCGGGAGATTCCGGCTCGGTTGCGACAGTTGGAGCAGGAGTCGGAGGTTCTGGAGTTGGTTCGGTGTCGCTGCCACATGCGACGAGCACCGCTACCGCGACCAGCGCGCCAAATAATGCCAACAGTCGAGCACTTGGCAAACGACGCAAACGCGTTTTCATCTTCTCACCGCCATTCGGACTCAGCGTGTTTCTTTTAGATGATACGTGCCGATATGATCGGCAGTTTCTGGTGATCAGCCGCGCACGGTCAGGTCAGTCAATCTGACAGAACGTCAGCGGCGATACCGTCTAGTTGATCCTGCAATGCCTGCCTCAATCCGGAAATCGGCACTCTCACCTGGTCCATCGTGTCGCGGTGCCGGATTGTAACTGCATCGTCCGACTCTACTGTCTCGAAGTCGACGGTCACGCACAACGGCGTTCCGATCTCGTCCTGACGGCGGTAACGACGTCCGATGCTTTGAGTCTCGTCGTACTGCGTGCTGAAGCGTGAACGCACCAAGTCATGGACCTCGCGAGCCTTGGGCGTTAACTTTGGATTGCGGCTCAGCGGCAAGATGGCAACTTGGTATGGCGCAATGCTTGGGTGGAATCGCAGGACTACGCGCTTATCGTCGTTGACCTCTTCTTCGTCGTAAGCATCGACGAGGAATGCTAACGCCGACCGATCCGCTCCCATAGCGGGTTCGACGACATAGGGGACGTAACGCTTATTGTTTGGTTGGTCGTAGTAAGACAAATCCTTGCCCGATTTTTCGATATGCGCCTTCAAGTCATAGTCGGTGCGATTGGAAATCGTCTCCAACTCGCCCCAACCCCACGGGAACAGGAACTCGATATCGGCGCTACCTTTCGAGTAGTGGGGCAATTCGTCCGCTTGGTGTTCACGGACCCGCAACTTCGACCGGCGGAGCCCCAATCCGGTAAACCAGTCCGATGAAAAATCTATCCAGTAGCGATGCCATTCCTCATCGGTGCCGGGTTCACAGAAGTACTCCATCTCCATCTGCTCAAATTCACGGGTTCGGAACGTGAAGTTTCCGGGCGTTATCTCGTTGCGGAACGATTTACCTTGTTGCGCAATGCCGAAGGGAATCCGAACGCGGCTGCTGTTCACGACGTTGTCGAAATCGACGAACATCGCTTGTGCCGTCTCAGGGCGCAGGTAGACGATGTTGTCGTCGCCTTCAACTGGGCCGATGTGAGTTCGGAACATGAGGTTGAAGTGACGAGGATCGCTCAACTCGCCGCCGCAATCAGGACACGCGTCGGTTTCCAGCAGATCGGAGCGATGCCTCCTGTGGCACTCTTTGCACTCGGCCAAAGGATCAGTAAAGCTGTCAACGTGGCCGCTGGCTACCCAAACGTCCGGGTGCATCAGGATTGATGCGTCGATACCGACCACATCCTCGCGGTCGCGCACCATCGACTTCCACCACTGGTCCTTGACGTTGCGTTTGAGTTCTACCCCGACTGGCCATAGTCGTAGAGGCTACCAATGCCTCCGTAGATTTCGCTGCTCTGAAAAATGAACCCACGCCGTTTTGCAACAGGCTGACGACGGTGTCCAAGCTGACGTTATCGAGGTTGCGTTTCAATGTCACTTGCCGACCTTAGGCTGTTGCGGTTGCGTGCCGATATCGCGGTGCCAGTGAATGCACCGCATAGTTTCAGTGTAAAGATCGAATGCTCCGTACATCGAGCGCATGTCGAGATCAACCTGTGGTCACAGTTCGCATTTCATCATTTCAACTGCGAACCATAGCGCCATAGCACCCCCGCGATCGTCACGTCCAGTAACTGAATCGCGAATCAGATAGTCGTTGAGACTCCCCAACGGGCCAGTTCCAACGCAGACCCGACGCACCCCTCCATCGAGATCGATTCCGTCCGCCGCACCCCGCCACGCGTTGGTTAGCACCTCGCCCCAATCGTCTTTCGTCAACCAGCCATGATTGATTCCGAGCGCGATGGAGATGCCGATCATGCTCGTCGAGCTATGCTCAGATACGAATCGGGTTCATCGATGACTTGTCGCCACATGCCGGTTTCTGGATCTTGGAAGGCTTCAATCCTGAAAGATGCTCGACGTGCCGCGAGATCAACCGCTCTCGGTCAGCCCCCGCGTAACCGACAAGTGTCTCGGCGAAACCCAATGCTAGCGAAACCGTTTCCCCGTCCCCAGAATAAGGCGATGAGAGGCAGTGCCAGTACAGGCCGTTAGGCTGCAACAACCGATCGGCACATTCGAGCACGAAGTCGGCTGCCAGTCGACATATGAAACGTCGCCGGTCAACTCAGTCGCGCGCTCGCAGAATCGTTCCCGCGAAAACATGTCCTCGACCCGGAAATCGCGATCCAAAATGCTCGAAAACCCGTCGTCTTCACGTTCCATGAATCGATCGGCAGTTGCGATCAGCAACGACCGGTAGCGCGCATCGTTTGCCAGCGACGAGCCCAATTTGACGCCAGCATAGTTGGCAGTGCCATCGCTCGGAGCGAAAACGGCATCAGGATTGTCCACGATACTCCGCCGTTATCGCCTCGATCTCCGCTCTCGGGTCCGGGTATTCGCAGTCCAACGCCGAGAGTTCTAGTCGTGCCGTTAACGAGACCCCCTGCGTATAGACGACCGACCGTTCCAACGCGTGACCATACACACTTGCCAAGGTGCGGGCCTTTAGTTTCGCCGACTCTGCAATTGACACCATCGATACCTCGTCGAATCACTGGTTTGCCGTATCATTTACGCAGACTGAATGATATAGCCACAACGAGCAGCATACGGGAGACAATCGATGGCGAAATCCACATCGCAGCAACTTGAGGGTAGAAGTGCATTGGTCACCGGTGGCGGCAGAGGAATTGGGCGGGGCATCAGCATGATACTGGCGTCTCGGGGTGCCGAAGTTTGTGTGTCGGATATCGACGCCGAGTCTGCCGAGCAAGTCGCGGCGGAGATCAACGAGGGTGGCGGTAACGCGTTCGCTACGGGTGGAAATGTAACCGACATCGATTCGATATCCGAAGTAGCCCGAACCGCGATCGATACGTTCGGCAAGCTCGACATTGTGCGTGCCCAACGCCGGCGTTCTCGGCGGTCCTACCTTCACGTCGCGGAAAGACTACATCGCCGAGGACTGGGATATGACGTGGGACGTAAACGTACGCGGAGTCGTCAACACGTCGGATGCGGTGGTTGATCACATGAAGGAGCGGATGTATGGAAAAATCGTCATCATCGCTTCGCACGGCGGTCGCGAGCCCCGCGGTGTGCCGGACGAGGGACGCGGCAACGTCCAAGGTCCGTACATGGTTTCCAAAGCGGCGGCGATACAGTGGACGCATTGGTTGGCCATGAACGTCGGTCAGTTCAATATCAACGTCAACGCGGTCTGCCCAGGCCGTCTTTGGACCCCGATGTGGCAGACAATCGCACAGAACCACAAGGAGTTGAACCCTGATCTTGCCGACATGTCGATACGCGAAATCTTTGAGATGCAGATAAAAGGCACCATGCCGCTCGGTCGAGAACAGACGCCCGAAGACATCGGCAAGGTAGTCGCTTTCTTGGCCTCCGACGACGCGTCCGAAATCACCGGTCAGGCGTTAAACGTCAACGGTGGCGGGATCATGAACTGATATCACGGTCCATTAAACGCTCCATTGGATGGTCTGTAAGGCGAAGCAAGGTAACGTGACATGGCTGAAATCTCAACCACCGTCGAGATATACCTCGAGGTGCGTGCCGAAGACGCGTTCCGATGGATCGTCGAACCCGGCAACATGGTCTATTGGATGAACGGCGTTCGACGAGCCGACTGGATTCGCAAGCAAGAAGCGGAAATACCTCGACCCCAAGACACTTGGGACATGCTCTACGAGTACAGCGGTAGAGAGAATGAGATCGTGATGGAGGTCGACGTGTGCGACCCTCGCGACGGCGCTTTCGAATTTCACACTATCGAAGGAAACTATCCAATTCGGACCGAATATCTTTGCCAACCATCGTCGAATGGGACTCTATTCCGGATGACACGCACCGCATTTTCGGACAGCACGTTTACCTCGGTCATGTTTGCGATAACCGGTATCATCAGTAAACCGATGATGCGCAAGCAGAATTTGGCCGAACTCACCAAGATGAAATCGGTTATCGAAATGCAGATACCATCGAGACGACGCTGATCCTACCTGGGAAAAGTTCAATTCAACTCTCTGTGAGGCCACCATGAACGACCGCGAACTGATGTTCCTACCGGCGCACGAACAGCGCCAGATGATCTTGGACGGCAAAATCTCGTCTGTAGAGTTGACCGAGGCGTCGCTACGAAGAATCGATGAACTAGATTCGCAACTCAATGCCTTCGTCACACTCGACGCGGACGGAGCCATCGCAGCTGCAACAGAATGCGACCGTAAACACGCTTCAGGTGAAAAACCAGGTTCGTTGCTGGGTGTTCCCATCGGAGTCAAAGACCTCGAAGTAACGAACGGGTTGCGCACGGCTCTCGGATGTACCGCATTCGCCGATTGGGTGCCGGATTACGACTCCGCGGTGGTTGGACGATTACGCTCCGCAGACGCAGTGATAATGGGCAAGACCAACACACCTGAATTCGGCAACAGTGCCGAGACGTTCACAGACCTGTTCCCGTCCGCAAACAACCCGTGGGACGTTACGCGACATCCTGGGGGTTCGAGCGGCGGCACGTCTGCCGCAATCGCATCAGGGATGTTTTCTCTCGGTAGCGGGACCGACGGCGGTGGATCTGTAAGGTTGCCAGCGTCATTCACTGGCATTTTTGGCCATAAACCCACCCATGGCCGCACTCCACGGCTTCGGCGGGCGATCCATGCCGTCCTACAACTGCACCAGCACGACTGGGCCAATGTCCCAAGACGTGCGATCGTCAGCCATCATGCACATGGCCATTTCAGGACACGATCCACGAGACCCGGTTCACTCAAATCGCCCGTCCCCGACTGCATCGCCGGTCTGGAAGACGGCATCAAGGGATTGAAAGTCGGATTCTCGATGGACCTCGGTTACGCCTACGTTAATGACGACGTCGCTCGGGTCACCGAGGAAGCAGTCAAAGGGTTGGAGGATGCCGGCGCTACCGTAGTCAACGCCGACATCAGCTTCGATCCTGTGCCCGCGGAGTATTGGTGGAAGATTTGGACCGCTGGTCAAGTGGCGATGTACGGACACCTCGCGGAAGACCCCGATGTCAATCTAACTGACTACACCATGGAGATGGTGAACGCCGGCTATGGCGTAACCGGAGCCGACTACGCGAGTGCGCTTCGTCAAGCCGAGATCCACCGCATTCAAGTAGGGCAACTCTTTGACGAGTTTGACCTGCTCGTAACGCCAACGACGGCGGTCGAAGCGTGGCCGCACCGAAAGACACCGATGGAACTCGGCGGCCACAAGCTCGAAGAGGGCATCGCCAACCCATCTGCGCTCCCGTTCACTGCGCTGTGGAATATCCTCTGGAACCCATGCGCGTCGGTGCCATGTGGTTTCAGCGACAGCGGTATGCCACTCGGGCTGCAAATCATCGGACCAGTCGATGACGACCCGATCGTTTTTAGAGCATCACGAGCTTACGAGCTGGCGCGGCCTTGGACATCCACGCGACCTAAGGTGTCCTGAGAACACCGACCCAGGAGGACACGCGCAATGAGCGAAACCTTCGACACCGTGGTAATCGGTGGCGGTGTGATGGGTTGCGCGACTCTCCATTACCTCGCCGACCTCGGCATCACCGACACCATTCTCCTCGAACGTGACACGCTAGCATCTGGCTCCACCGGACGTTCGACGACCATCCTCAGGATGCACTACTCCAACCGCGTCACCGGCGAGATGGCGTGGTGGAGCAGGGACGTGATGGACAAGTTCGATGAAATTACCGGCTCGCCGAGCGGATACCGCGAGAATCAGTGGATTCTCGTCCCGGGACCTGGTAGCAATCAAGCTGCAATCCAAAACGTTGAACTAGGCCAGTCAATTGGCATCGACACCGAGGTCCTTGATGTCGATGAAGCCGAGAAACGATGGCCCTACATGCGCTTTGCCGACACCGAATGCGTCGTCTGGGAGCCAAAATCAGGATTCGCCGATTCGCACCTCGTAACGCGCGGCTTCGCAAATTCCGCGCGAGACCGTGGCGCAATCGTCAGGTTAGGTGTGACAGTCACGGACATCATGATCGATCATGGACGGGCGATCGGCGTCAAAACCATCAGGAGACATATTCGCTGATCGGGTCGTGTTGACAGCCGGCCCTTGGAATATGGAATTCTTGGAGAACGTCGGTTCACCACTCCCGCTCCACACGAGTACGGCACCAAGTCGTCCGGCTCCAACACGATGGCGAGTTCAGCGACAACGCCGACCCTTTCCATCCCACAATCGCGGAAAGCGTGTCGGGCCTTTCTGCTCGACCGGATACACCTGGTTACTCATTGGCCGGCTACCGCGAAGACCCGTGTGGACCGCGATACCTACAACCAAGGCGTCGATACTGATGTCGCCATCGAAACCATCACCAGAATTGCCGAGATCATACCCGCATACGAAAACGTGACGTGGGCGGGCGGATGGTCAGGTCTGTTTACCGTCACGCCAGATTGGAACCCCGTGATCGACCGTGTTCCCGGTGTCGAGAATCTCGTCGTGGGCGCAGGGTTTTCGGGACACGGATTCAAGATGTCGCCAGCGATCGGCCTTTCGTTGGCAGAACTCGTAACCAACGCGGATGAAACGACGTTCGACTTGAACCCGATACGCTTCAGCAGATTCGAAGAGGGCGATCTGCTCAAGTCAGCATACGGCGGCAACGTATTCGCTTGATCATGTGATATTGCCGTAGACCGCGCCGCACACGAAACCGAATATCAGGTGTGCGATGAGCAGCATGGCAGCATATTGCCGTGAGTACGAGTGCAAAAGGTCCCGGCGCCTTGATCTCGCCTTTGCGGATTCGCGGATGTAGCAGTCTGAAGTAAGTCAGGCTGATACCGGTTAACACCCAAAGGCATACCGAAACGATTGCCCCGTACAGCCAAGCCGTGGCTTCGACCTCAAAGGCGTATATCACCGCAGATGTAAATATGCCGTAGAAGACGCCAATGAAAAGCAATACCGATCGCCCAATCAGTTGCTGACCAAACGTTTTGCGCGTGAAGGCTGAACCGATCAGCGAGACGATCCCGATGTGATTTTGGGACGGTCGAGCCACTTCCCAGACCTGAAGGGACTAAGATGGCTGCGAAAGTTCCGATCAATCCACCGACGATGGCGATGTCAAGGTTCAACGCATTCTCCAGTATCAGCCGAAACGTTTACCAATCGGCGACGGAACCATCTGCAAAGTACGATTCACCGCCCAATTCTCGGTGATACCCGGTAGCTTCGCCGTCAAACACCTTCATCGCTTCGGTTTCGTCGACTTCCACGCCCAATCCTGGCGTGTCCCACAACTCGATATGGCCGTCATTGACCTGCCAGTCGTTCTTAATGATGCCGTTGCCCAGAGCCTGATCGACCTGTTCCTGAACCAAGAAGTTCGGTACCACCGCATCGACCGTCATGCATGCGGCCAGAGCTAGCGGGCCGATGGCACAATGCGGCATGATGTGCTGGTAGTAAACCTCGGCGTAGTTGGCAATTTTCTTCAACTCGGTGATACCGCCGCAGTGGGCGACGTCGGGCTGCAACAGCGAAACGCATTGCTGTTCGATGATGCGCCTGAATTCCCATCGTGATAGGAGACGTTCGCCGGTTGCGATAGGGAAGGGCACATGATCTGACACCAGCTTGAGGGCATCTTCATTTTCCTGCGGCACGGGTTCTTCGACGAACATCGGTCGCATCCCCTTGAGTTCGTTGCAGACCTCAATGGCGATCCCAGGGGCCATCTTCCCATGGAAGTCGAAGCACAACTCAACATCGTCGCCGACCCACTCGCGCATCGTAAATGCCATCTCGACGAACTCGTCGATTCGGGAGGGAGGTTCGTGGGCCCGCCAAAAACCGGGAGGACCGGCTTTGTATGCGGTGTAACCCATAGCGCTCAACATCTCCAGACGGTTTCTAGCCTGTTCGAGCGACTCTTCCGACATGTCGCGGATGCCCCAGTGGGCATAGACGCGGATACGGTCACGCACGTTGCCGCCCAAAAGCATGTAACTCGGAACGCCATAGTGCTTTCCTGCGATGTCCCACAGGCAGCATCGATGCCCGCGATTGCCGACATGTTGTGTGCACCGCCACGGAAAAACGACGAGCGATACATCTGCTGCCAATGATGCTCGATACGAAGGGGGTCTTTGCCGATCAGGTAACCCGAAAACTCCTCGATCGCCGCCGGAACCGACAGATGCTTACCTTCAAGCGTGCTCTCGCCCCAACCCTCGATACCCGAATCAGTCGTGATGCGAACCAAGCGGGTTCGTTGCCGAGGTGAAAACTGATCAACGCGCGTTATCTTCATGTCACGGAATCCGAAGGGGTAGGTTGTGTTGTCGGCACGAGTCTACACGCCTCGTTGCCGACGTTAACCCAACAGGTTCAATTGCTCAACGAAATGGCGAACGTCCTCGGCCCGCCGCCTAATCTGATCTTCATCCAACCAGTTCTCGTAGAAATTGGTGTGCAATTGGGCAGCTGAATCAAAATCTCTGCGGAGTTCGGATGATTTGTCATCCCGTTCGAGTTCGGCCATGATGTTGTAGAACTGGGCGTGCGAGTTGTGTTTCCATCCCCTGCGTTCAGCGACGGATTTCAGCGCTTGCGCCGCGGAACCCCAGAACTTTTCGGAGGCTTGGATGAGGTCGCCTGTCTCCAATTCGACCATCGCCTGGTCGAAAAGATGGGTCGAGGTCGATCTGTATTGTTCAGTTGTTGCCATAACTCGTTTATCACTGTTGAGATTGCCGTGTGTCTACGCTATCTAGGATATCTTCGCACAGCCGCAGCGTAGCAATCGATGACTCAAGCGTCGCTGCCGGTGGTGGATATTCGACGTCGTCGAGAACGCTAGCAATGAAATGCCGCGCCTGTGCGACAGTATCGATTTCCGCGCCATCCGGCACCGCCAATTCGGTTCGTTCACCACCGCGGAGCACCCAACCACGGTTGACGCCTTCAAGATAGACCGAAACGTAATCGCCGTGCAGTTCATATCTTTCGAGCCTACCGCCCGCCGTGTATGCGGATGTGAACTGACAGACTACATCGTTCTCAAATTCGATTACGGCTGCGTGGACATCACGGTAAGGGCTGGCTGACCGCTTGACGACGGCGTGGAGGTCTTTCACCGGCGCGGCCGCGAAGTCGTGACGATATCGACGGAGTGGATTGGCGATTCGAGGAGCATCACGTCGAACATCGTTGACGAAAATCTCGCGTCGTCAGTGAATTCGTGGATGTCTTTGTGGAATTCGGCCACGATCTGATGCAGGAGCCCGGCTTCGGTAACCACATCTATGGCGGCTCGGATCAACGGATTGAAACGGCGATTGACGCCACCATCACCTTCGATCCGCTCGCATTTGCCGCTTCGATCAACTCGATCAGAGCCCGCTATCGACATCTGCCGGAGGTTTCTCGATCATCACCGGCATGCCGCGGCGGATGGCATCTAAGGCGACATTCCCATTCAAGTGCGCTGGTGCCGCCACGATAACCGCATCGACATCGCCTGAGTCCACCATTTCCGAGACCGTAGCGTAGGTCGATACGTCTGTGAGATCCGAAGCCGCGGTCGCGCGGGAAGATTCGATTGGATCCGATATCGAGGCGACACGAGCCCCTTCGATTTCATCGATTGCCCTTACGTGCCAGCGACCGCGTCGTCCATACCCCGCTAACCCAACATTCAGCGACATGATTGGTCTCCCAAGTCTTTCCGGTGCAACTTGCTGGCGGCTGTTGCCACACACCGTTGCCATGTTGGGAATAGACTTTATCCAAATGAGTAACCGCTGACGATGCATCAAGACGGAGATTCAACATGATCGCGACGGTAATGGACACAACCACAATGAGCGGCAGAGATGTCCGAATGGCTTCCCGAACCGGTGAATTCGCTCAGCCCACGTCAGGTGCCGCGCCGGATATCGTCCAGACGAACGTGGCTATCCTGCCAAGGGATCTGGCGTTTGACTTTTTGGTTTTCTGTCAGCGAAACCCCAAACCGTGTCCGGTCATTGAAGTTCTTGAGGCCGGGCAGACAGAAGCGGTCCTTTCGGCACGCGACTCTGACATCCGAAGCGACGTGCCGATGTACCGCGTCTACCGCTACGGCGAACTCGTCGAAGAGCCGAATGACATCTCGGAGATTTGGCGAGCTGATTTGGTGACCTTCCTACTCGGTTGTAGCTTTACTTTTGAGCACGCCCTCATCCGCAACGGCGTCCATCTTCCGTACTACGGCACCGACAAGAACGTTGCGATGTACAAAACCAGCATCGAAACTGCACCGGCGGGCCCATTCGGCGGGCCGATGGTCGTGACTCATCGCTGGGTACCGCGTGAAAAGGTAGTCAGGGCAGTGCAAGCGACCTCCAGGTTCCCAGCAGTCCACGGCGCACCGGTTCACATCGGCGACCCCATCTGAGATCGGCATTCACGACCTTTCGAAGCCAGACTTTGGCGATGCGTGGGAACCGCAATCGGATGAGGATGTCTCGATGTTTTGGGCTTGCGGTGTGACGCCTCAAGCGGTCGCGATGGCATCGAAACCCGAACTGATGATCACGCATGCTCCTGGCTACATGTTCGTTACTGACATGCACGACGAAGATCTAGCGGTAATGTAGCCCCAAGTCACCGAAACACACTAATCGAGGCGTAATTCCACAATGACCAACAAAGACGCGATTGCACAAATCGAAGACATCGTACTGCAAGACGACATGCGCGGCATGACCGCTCTCAAGCCGCACATGCCCGACGGGTATATGGAGTCGTGTGCGGACTTGCTGCTTGACCATCCAGGCACGATCTTCATCGTGACCGGTTTTTACATCATAGCCGCCGAGAAGACGGAGACTGATGGGCCCCCGGGGGCTGTCGCCATCGGCAATGCGCTTGCCAAGCTCGGAAACGATGTCAAATACGTGACGGATGAGTTGTCCTCCGAAGTCGTCCGAACGATCGCCGAAGACGAAGTGATCGAGTTTCCGATTACCAATCATTTCGAATCCGCGAACTTCGCTAATCAACTGGTCCAGGAACATTCCCCGTCAGCGCTAATAGCAATCGAACGCGCCGGACTGATAGGAGACGGTACCTACCGGAATATGCGGGGCGTTGAATTAACGCCATTCAACGCAAAGATCGACCATCTTTTTGATCAACATCCGTACTCTATCGGCATTGGGGATGGAGGCAACGAGATCGGCATGGGGAATCTGCAAAATGTCATTCCCACGATCGAACACGAATTCTTGCCAAAGAACCCTTGCGTTACGACAACCACCGAGCTCATCATCGCCAGCTGCTCAAATTGGGGCGGCTACGGGCTTGTAGCCGCTCTCTCCCTCAAGCACGGTTTCAATATGCTACCGAGCGTCGAAGAGGCCAAACAGATGGTCAGGGACATCGTAGCGGTCGGTGCGGTCGAGGGAATGAGCGGCGAAAGCAAAGAGTTCGTAGACGGCCGCGACTTGGAGGGCGACTCCGCGTGTATCAGAGACCTCCACGCCTTGTTGGCGGAGCAGGGCGTAGGTTAGCAACGTTCTCGCCTAACGCCACCGGCGCAACCTCCGTCGCGCAACCGTTTCCTGCACGAGCACCATCAGCGCGATAGCTCCGACTCCCGCAACTCCACCGGTGAACCATGTCGCGTTGCCAAGGCCATGATCTGAGCGATCCACCGATCAGTGGTGGTCCGACAGCTCCGCCGACGTCAGATATGAATCGCCACACCCCTAAGAACTCTCCAGGGTCATTCAACGGCGCTAAATCCGATCCCAAAGTCAACACGAACCCGCTGCTGAGGCCGTTACCCAAACCAGTCACGATGCCAGCGATCATCAGCATCGTCATTCCGTCCGCGAATGGCAATAATGACAGTCCGATCCCCATTACCGCCAATGCTGGCACGCCAACATATTTGCGACCGAATCGGTCCATCGTCCAACCGACGATCGGGAACATCGTTGAATCGACAGCATACGAGGCGCTAGCGACGTAACCAATCTGGTCCGTTTTCAGTCCCATTTCGTCGCCCCAGACCGGAATCAGGAACTCCCTCGCAGCGCGCACGAATTGGAGTATTACGGCGACCAACCCGGCGTCATGAAGTCCCGCCGATGCGCGACCATCGTCGTGCCAACACTCGCCAAGACGTTACGATCGTCCCTGCGGATTCACAACGTCGCCGCCGGTCCTTGTCATCGTGTAAAGCACCAACATTCCAGTCAGAAATGCGATTGCGGCCTGCGCGTAAAAAGGCGCCTTGATATCGACATACTCCGCCAATACGCCACCGAGAATGGGACCAATAATTGCCGCGATTCGGCTTGTGCCGCCGTAGAGAGATAGCGCTTTTCCTCGATGTCGCGTTGGTACAGCGCCAGCGATGAAAGCGTGCCGGGAGATCATCCAGAATGCAAACTTGCGCCCGGCCGCGAAGCGAGCCAGGAAGAGGATCGTGAAATTCGGACTGTTTGGCCGCCGCGACCGCCGCGACCGCAAACAGCAATATTCCGACGAGCATCGTCCGCCACATGCCAAAGCGCGACACCAATATCCCCGCCGGGACATCGAACATCAAGGTACCGATGTATTTGGCTCCGACCGCTAGACCGATCATGACATCGGTGGCGAACAACTCGTCTTTGGCGAAGATCGGCAGGACGGGGATCAGAACGCCTTGACCGATAGCGAGAAGAAACGTCGGTGCGTAAACCGTCGGAATCAACGGAACAATGGAAAATCGGCGACGATTAACCCTTGCCGGACTTGAAGAATTCGTCGGTGGTTTCACTATCCCAGATTGATGTGCGGTGATGACGCTTCGTGTCGCATTGATGCGGCATGCACAACAACCCGCGGAAACGTCGCAAACCTCTTTAGCATAGAATCGACTTGAACCGCAAACAATCCAAACGATACGAGGCTGTCTCCGACGCGCGTCCAGACTATGGAAGCGTCTGTACTCGGCGATTTGCCCGCATCACCGCTGATCAGGAGAGAAATTATGTCCGACATCAACTCCCGGGGTTACGCGAACGCCGACGCGCTCGTGTCAACTGACTGGGTCGCCAAGCACGCGAATGACGATGGCGTGAGAATCGTCGAATCGAATGAAGACCCGTTGCTATACCCTTCAGGTCACATCCCCGGCGCGGTCGAGATCGACTGGGCTGCCGATTTGAACGACCCTTTGCGCCGAGACTACCTCGACCGCGATGGCTTCGCGAGCCTAATGTCATCGAAAGGCATCTCCAACGACACCACTGTTGTCCTCTACGGAGACCGCAGCAACTGGTGGGCTTGCTACGCGCTGTGGATCTTCCAACTCTTTGGCCACACTAACGCCAAGATTATGGATGGCGGCCGACTGAAATGGGAAGCCGAAGGTCGAGAACTCACTCGCGAAGCCCCGGACGTCGCATCGGCAAGCTACAACGCACCTGAGCGAGACGACTCAGTGGTGCGTGCCTTCCGAGACGACGTTATGGCGCACATTGACATCTCCGGTCAGATGATCGATGTCAGGAGCCCCGAAGAGTACCGCGGTGAGCGACTCCACATGCCCGACTACCCGAACGAAGGTGCACTTCGCGGTGGACACATTCCGGGTGCAGCAAACGTCCCTTGGGCATCGGCTGCTAACGAAGATGGTACGTTCAAGGACGCCAGCGCCCTCCGCGGCATCTACGAGGGTAATGCCGGTCTCGACTCCGACGACGACGTAATCGTCTACTGCCGCATCGGCGAACGCTCGAGCCACACTTGGTTCGTTCTCACCAACCTCCTCGGCTACGGCAACGTCAAGAACTACGACGGAAGCTGGACCGAGTGGGGCAACTCCGTTGGCCTTCCAATCGAGAAATAATCCGACATACAGTCAACGGATAGCCGCGGGCGCTTTAGCACTGGTGCCCGCGGCTATCCGATCTCCCCACGATGGACAATATCCCAAGTCCACTCACCGAGATGCTCGAGGAGCTCGACGCCCTCGATAGGGTAGAGCGATCACAGTACCTGCTTGAGCTTTCGGACGAGTTCTCAGAAGTCCCCGAATCTATCGCAACTCGGCCCTTCCCTGAAAACCGTCGGGTACCGAAATGCGAATCAGAAGCGTTTGTTTGGGCTCAAGACCAAGATGACGGCACGCTGAAGTTCCACTACGCCGTTGAAAATCCCCTCGGTATTTCTGCGCGTGCGATGGGCGTCATACTCGATGAAACTCTTTCCGGTCAACCGGTAGACCAAGTTGCAAGCGTTCCCCCTGACATCGTCCATCGCATCTTCGGACGACAACTCTCGATGGGCAAAGGCGAAGGCCTCGCTGCAATGGTTGAATATTCGACCTATGAAGCGCGGCGACGTCTTAAAACACGCCGAATCAGTTAACCGTGGCGGTCTCAACCGAGTTTATTGGCGGCAAAAAGTCCGCCAGGAGTTGCCAGCTATCCCCTTCATTGCGGCTGAAGAACAGCTGTCCCGTGCTCGTTCCGACGTAAACTCCGCAAGGATCTAGGGCATCGGTTGCCATCCCGTCGCGCATCGCGTGAAGATATGCGTGTTTCTGCGGTAATCCCTTCGTCAATGGTTCCCAGTTTCGACCCGCGTCGCGACTTCTGAAGAGGCGGAACTTTGCGTTAGTTACAAACCGCATACCGCCTCCGAGTTGATCTCCTACGACTTTATCTTCGGGCAGAACGTAAACTGTATCCGGATCCTGACCGTGAATCGCCATCGGCAATCCGAATCTCGAAGGCAGGCCTTCGCTAATATCAAGCCAATCTTGACCGCCGTTGTCGCTGCGGAACACTCCGCAATGATTTTGTTGATACAGCGTCTGCGGCTTGGCAGGGTGCATCACAACCTTGTGAGGACATTGTCCGACTTCTGGGTATGTTTCGGGCAAGAAATCGGCGCGGACGCCGTTGTTCATCGGTTGCCAAGACTTCCCCTCATCGTCGGTGCGGAACACCCCGGCCGCAGATATGCCGACCCACATTCGATCCGCCGAGGTTGGATCCTGGACGATGCTGTGCAAGCACATGCCGCCTAGTCCGGCCTCCCAACGCTCGCGTGTCGGATGCAATGTAATTCCGGCGATTTCGTTCCACGTCTCACCTGCATCCTCGCTCTTGAAAAGTGACGCGGGTTCCGCTCCCGCGTAGACGACATCAGGTTCGTTTTTTGCGCCGAGGGTCACTTGCCACAATTTGTTCAATTTCACTTCATCGGTGGATGTGACCTGCGGCCCTTGGCGAGCGCTCTCCCAAGTTACGCCTAGATCGTCGCTACGATGGATTTCAGACCCGAAAACCGGATCGTTTCTAACCAACCACAACCTACCATCTCCGCGCCCATCGTAAACGGCGTGGAATATGTCAGAGCCGGGCCAATGCGGGCCCGGTCATCTCCCATTTCGTGCGACCTCGGTCGGCCGAAAACACGAACGCCCCTTTCCGAGTGCCGACAAGCACCAAGATGTCGCCGTGCATGGGCTGAAGACTGTTTGCCATCGAAACTCCCTCAAATTGTCGGTTCGATCGTGAACCGTCGTCACGAACGAACCCCGTACCGCAACGAAGTCAACAATTGCTTTGACGCAGATGTGATCTCCTCGACAGCAGCGTCAAAAACCGCTTCGTTGGCCTTTGATGGAGCCCGGTAGCCGCTTATTTTTCGGACGTACTGCAGTGCGGCGGCGGCAATTTCGTGATCGCTCGCTGGCACTTCTCGTTCTCTCAGCACCTTGATACTTCTGCACATACAACTCTCCTGACTAACTAACTCCGTTGATTGATTGCGTCAGATGCGCTCTGACAATGCGTACATCCTCGTAAGGGATCTCGTCATCGAGTGTCTTCATGACTTCTGCGAGTTTTGCCTGAATTCCGCCAACTTCGCTGAAAGCAGACTCGATCTTGGCCATTCGATCTGACTTTGGCAGCGACGATGCTAAATCGACCGTCATACCGTTTCCGACCATCATCTCAACGTGGCTGATGATCGTGCCTAAGGCCAGTCCGCGGCGATGCGCTACTTGATCGACCGACATTCCTTGATTCAGGAATTCTCTTGTTTCAGCATAGGTCGAACCGCTGCGGTGCGTGTTGGGCGTCCGACGGACAGTAGGGCGGTCGTCGCGAGATGTTCCGACGCCATTGGTTGCTGTCGGATGGTGTTCGGTGTATTCGGTTATCTCCGCCAAAAACTTTTCACCGTATTGTTCCAGTTTTACCGAACCGACTCCAGAAACCAACGCGAATTGAGCAAGGTTTCGTGGAACCTTCGCGGACATGTCACGGAGACTGGCATCACCGAAAACCAGGTACGGTGGAATTCCGAGTTCTCGCGCGATATCCAATCGCAGCCGACGCAGCCGTTCGAAAAGATCCGGATTATCCGCCATCGCTGCGTAAACTCTGGTTCGTCGAGGCGGTTCAACGCGTTGCGGTTTCGACAGTGTCAATGACTCGCCGTTTTTCAAAAATCGGCGACCTTTTTCGGTCACTCTGAATGTTGGGTACTCGCCTTCGTTCTTGACAATCAGACCCTCCGCTTCCAACATAGCCGCGATCTCTCTTAGTTCGTTCCGGTCGTAATCTTTGACGATGCCATAGACGCTGAGAGAATCGTGCCCGAACTCTAGGACTTTCTTGCGCCTACTACCGAGCAGCACATCGTTGACGTGGGCGATCCCAAACCGCTCTCCGGTCCGGATAATTGCCGACAGAATCTTCTGCACAATGATCTTGGCATCGAATTTTTCGCGTGGTGTTGAGCAGACATCACAACCTCCACAATTGTTCTGTTTCTCGCCTTGGGAAATCGTGTCGTCGCCGAAGTATTCGAGGAGAAAACGTCTGCGACAACTAGTCAATTGGCTGAATTCGATGACCTTGTTAAGCTGATCTTGTGATTTTTTACGTTCAATATGGTCGTCGATCTTATTGATGAAGAATTCTTGCTTTGACTTGTCGCCATACGAGTACAAGAGTACGCAGTCGCTCGGCAAGCCATCCCTTCCTGCGCGCCCGGTCTCTTGGTAGTAGGACTCCAGAGATTTTGGAAGAGAGTAGTGGACCACGAGCCGGACGTCCGGTTTGTCGATGCCCATTCCAAACGCAATCGTCGCCACGACTATCGTGAATTCGCCGGTGATGAATCCCTCTTGCGTCCTTCGGCGGGCCTCCGAGTCCATCCCAGCGTGGTACGGTTTAGCAGCGAATCCCAACTGTCGAAGGTCGACAGCTATCTCCTCCGTCTCCTTGCGTGAGAAGCAGTAAATTATCGCCGCTTGGCCTTGACGAACCTCCAACAATTCGACAATCTGTCCAAACGCGTTTTGCTTCGTTCGGATCTCATACGAAAGATTCGCCCGATTGAAGCTCGCGACAAAGCGCTTGGGCGATTTCAAACCGAGCTGCGTGACGATATCGTCTCGGACCCGGTGCGTGGCCGTTGCTGTGAGAGCGATGAACGGCACCTCTGGCATACTCCGTCGCAAAGCCCCAAGCCCACGGTATTCCGGCCTGAAGTCATGACCCCACTCCGAGATACAGTGCGCCTCATCAACCGCAACAAGACTTACCGTGAGGTTTTTCAGGAAGTTCTGGAATCCTTCCAACGCCAGTCGTTCAGGTGAAACGTAAAGGATCTTCACCTCGCCGCGGAGGACTTCCCCACGGATGCGCGTCGTCTCCTCATAAGACAGGGAGCTGTTGATGTACTCCGCCTTGATGCCGATGGCTTTCAATCCATCGACTTGGTCTTTCATTAAAGCGATCAACGGCGAAACCACGAGCGTGATGCCATCGAAACGCAACGCAGGGTAGCTGATAGCAGAGAGACTTGCCGCCGCCTGTGGGCATGATGACCAATGAATCTTGCCCAGCCCTGGACACTGAGATTATGTCCTCTTGGAGAGGGCGGAACTGATCGTAGCCGAAATATCGTTTTAGGAGGTCAAGCATCGCTGGTGGTGGAGCCAAATTCAAATCCGTGCATTACGACATTGTCGCCGACATCCTAAAGTTCGTACATGCGAAATGGCGAGAATCGCGGTGGTTACTCCCTGTAGCGCTCGAGGAGCCGCTTGGCGATCACCAGTTTCTGCATCTCGTTCGTGCCTTCGCCGATGATCATTAGTGGCGCGTCGCGATAGTAGCGCTCTATGGGCAACTCCTTGGTGTAACCGGCACCACCGTGTATTCGCATCGCATCCATGGCCACCTCGCCGCAGATCTCACTGGCGTATAGTTTTGCCATCCCGGCGGCCAAGTCGACCCGCTCGCCAGCATCCTTCTTGCGAGCCGCGCTCATCGTCAAGAGTTTCGCAGCCTCGATCTTCGTGCCCATCTCGGCGAGTTTGAGTTGGATGGCCTGATGCTCAGCTATCGGCACACCGAACGCATGGCGGCGTTGCGCGTAAGAGATCGCCGCTTCGAACGCGGCTGTTGCTACCCCGACCGCCGAGCTGCCACGTTAACCCGTCCCGATTCCAGCCCACTCATCACCTGATGAAAACCTCTACCTTCTTTGCCACCGATCAGATCTTCCGCACCTACACGACAACCGTCAAATATCAATTCGCCAGTGTCGACACCGCGATAGCCCAGCTTGTCGATGTGCTGGCCAACAGAGAGGCCAGGATTGGGTTTCCTAACGATGAAACAGCTCATTCCTCGGTAGGGCGGATCGGCATTCAATTCGGTCTTAGCCAATACCGCGTATGCGTTACCGTTCTCCGCGTTGGTGATGAACATCTTCCGACCGTTCAACACATACTCTTCACCTTCTCTGGTAGCCGTAGTTTGGATGCTTTGGACGTCGCTACCAGCTTCAGGTTCGGTTAGTCCCAATCCGCCGCGGATCTCGCCCGTTGCCATGCCGGGTAGGATGCATCGTTTCTGCTCTTCGGTGCCATGCTCGGCGATAATTGACGACATCAAAAGGTGGGTGCCGATCGGTCCGCATACTGACATCCAACCCTTGCTCAACTCCTCAAATACGATTGCGAGCGTCACATGGTCCAATCCGAGGCCGCCGTACTCTTCAGGGATGGTGATACCGAACAGCCCCATCTCTCGCATCGTACCGACGAGTTCGGCAGGGTAGATGTCATCGTGGTCGTAACGCGATGCCACGGGTTCGACATCACGACGCACAAATTCACGGACGAGATCGATGATCTGCGCACGCGCTTCCTCCGACACCTTCGACATCAAGACTTCATCGTTGCACATTGATCCGGCATGTCGCTGCAATTCGCATTGGGTCGGTTAGTCGTCGATCTCGAGGCTGCCCATCACGACGCTACCAGTAATGATGACATCAACATCACGTTCTGAGGCATCGTTCAGACGACGCTTATCCTCAGTTTGGCCCATGACGGTGGAAGTGTCGATCGTGATGTTCCATCCAGAAGGGACTCTCATGTTGACCGATCCCATTACCGCCGCAACCTCCAATCTAGCTGGTTTTTCGCGAACACTGGCGTCGCGCATGTCCAGTTCATTGATCCCATCACGGCATTAACTTCACCGCCTCGAAACTCTTGCGATTCAACCCGATGCTTGGAAGACGACAACACGCTGGATGCATTGATTGATGAATCCGTCAACGGCGATGAGTCGGACTGGACAAACTCCATGTTCAGGTTCTGTCCTCGGTTCCGATTGCGCGAACGAGCGCCGCCGGCGATCAACGCAATCCCGACGGCAATTAAGACGATTGCCCAGATTACCTCGGAATCGAAACTGTCCAACACCAAGGCCAACTGCACAACAACCCCCACGCCGAGCATGATGAAGGGGACGGTCGATCCGCGGAAGCGGTTTTTGATCAGTCCCCACAAACCTAGGACAATGAACAGTGAAGGAAACCACCGCAGCAAACCCTCATCTCCGCCAATGCCCAACGCGGTCAGCAATACTAGCGCGCCGAAGACTGCGAGGATAATCCCTGCGAAGGTTCTTCCCGATATCCCTAGCGAGGTCATCACATATTCCAAAGGCTAAGCGCAAACACAGATCATCTCCCACCCAAATCAATAAAATTCAGACTCGCTCCACGGTTGGCGGCTACCGCCGAACCGTGGAGCGAGTCCGACTGAATCTGCTAACCCACTGCGCACGCGGCCGCGGCGTTGACTGCGCGGGTGGTGTAGACCTGCGTCATGGCCTCGCGGTATTCAGCGGATGCATGAACATCGTCGTTAAACATGCCAGCCAGTTCCGCTCCACCGCGTTGTGCGGCGCGGTTCACGACGCTCTCGGTAAGTTCCTTGCCGACCAAGATGCGTTCGGCACGTCGAGACCTAATCGCGTGGGGGCCCGCACCGGTAATGCCGATGCGCGCGGAAGTGCAGACTCCACCATCGTCGATCGTCAAGGAGGCGGCAACGCCAACGACCGCGTAGTGCGATGCCTTGTTGGCCAACTTCACGTATGCGCAACCGCTACCCGCACCTTGTGCTGGGACGGTGACGCCCGTCAGTATTTCGTTGGGCCTTAGCGCGGTCTCGAGATAACCGCGGAAGAATCGGTCGCTCGCAATCGTGCGCTGAGAGCGGGCCGACGCGGCGTGGATTTCAAAACCGAGGGCGACTGCGACTGCGGGGAGGTCACCTGCGGGATCGGCGTGCGCCAAAGAGCCGCCAATCGTTCCCCAGTTCCGGACCTGCGTGTCGGCAACTTGCGAAGCCGCTTCCGCGATCGCGCATGCTTTCGAGTTGATAACGTCGGACGTGATCAACTCGTAGTAGGTCGTCATCGATCCGATGGTGATGCTACCGTCGTCGTTCTCGGTAATGCCTTTGAGTCCCTCGACGTTTCGCAGGTCGACAATCGCCTGCGGCGACGCGATTCGCAGCTTCATCATTGGGATCAGCGAGTGACCGCCAGCCAACACTTTGGCATCGCCACGATACCTTGAAAGTGCTGCGACGCCTCACGCACCGTTGTTGGTGCGTGGTATGCGAAAGGATCTGTTACTCCTGTTGTCATGTTCAGTTACCCCTTCTCGCTGCTGCCGAACGTCGGGTTCGACGTGCCTCTTTGGCGTCCTGAATGGTTCGCCACATCTTCTCTGCACTCAACGGCATGTTCAGGTGTTTCACGCCAAGGTGCTTGAGCGCGTCAACTGCGGCGTTCACCACTGCAGGTGATGTGCCGCGATCGTGCCCGTCTCGCCCGCGCCTTTGGCGCCGAGAGAGTTGACCGTTGTCGGCGTGACCGTGCGACCGGTTTCGAAGTTCGGAAAGTCCTCTGCCGTCGGAACCGCGTAGTCCATCATGCTTCCGGTCAGCAATTGACAAAAACCGTCGTCTGAGTAGACCGCGCACTCTTGGAGCGCCTGCCCGACGCCTTGAGCGATGCCGCCATGGACCATGCCGTCGACAATCATCGGGTTGATGACATTGCCGACGTCGTCGATGGCCACGTAACGGGCCAGCTTCGTCTCGCCGGTCATCTCGTCGATTTCGATGACTGCGACGTGAGTGCCAACGGCCAGAGTGAGTTTGCGGTACAGAAGCTTACGTGCCTTTCTAAGCGGTTCAAGCCCTGCAAGTTACTTGCCCAGTAGGCGCCAAGTGCTACGTCACACAAGATCTCTCACGCTCTTGGTGTCTTCACTTAGACGTGCCGTTTTTTCGAAGCTCACCTGCTTGGAATCAACGCCCATTTCATGGGCCGCAATCTGCTTCGCCTTGTCGATGACCTTGTCCAGACTCATCATTAGGGCTTCGCCGCCGACCGCCAAGGATCGGCTACCGAACGTGCCAGTTCCGAACTGGTGTCGCTCGGTGTCGCCGTGCACGACCTCAATGTTCTCCATCGGTATGCCGAGACGCGACGCCGTAATTTGGGACAATGTCGTCTCGTGACCCTGTCCGTGCGGTGATGTTCCCGTAAAGACAGTTACAGTACCGGTCGGGTGGACACGAACCGTACTCGATTCCCATAGGCCAGCACCGGCGCCCAAAGCACCTGCAACTGCCGACGGTGCCATTCCGCAGATCTCTAATAGGTCGAGAACCCGACTCCGAGCAGCTTGCCTTCGCGGCGTGCTGCGCGTTGTTCGGCGCGGAATGCTTGGTAGTCGAATTTGTCAAGAGCGGCTGCTAGAGCGCCTTGATAGTTTCCGGAGTCGTAGGTGACGCCGATGGGCATGTCGTGACCGCGTTTGAATGGGCGCACGAAGTTGCGACGGCGAACTCCTAGAACGTCTCGCCCGATCTCGTGGGCATATCGTTCCATCATTCGCTCGACGACATAGGTTGCCTCGGGGCGTCCTGCGCCGCGATAGGCGTCGACAGGCGTCGTGTTGGTGAAGACTCCCTTGACCGTGCACGAGACACTCTCGAACTTGTAACACCCGCCCAGCATCAAACCGAACAAGATGGTTGGGATCGCTGGTGCGAACGTCGATAGATATGCGCCTAGATTTGCGTAGACGTGGACCTTGAGACCCGTCACGATCCCGTCGCTGGTGCCACAGATTTCGGCGTCGGCGATGTGGTCGCGTCCGTGAGTGGTGGCAACATAGTTCTCGGTGCGGCTCTCGATCCATTTGACCGGCCGTTCGAGCTGCTTCGCGACAATGCCGCAGATGACCTCCTCAGCGTATAGATAGAGCTTGCACCCGAAACCGCCGCCAACGTCAGGGGCGACGACGCGAACTTTGTGCTCGGGATGGCCGGTTACCAGTGAGAACAGAAGACGCACAAGGTGAGGGATCTGGGTCGATGTCCAGATCGTTATCTGGTCGAACCCGCCGTTATAGTCAGCCATGATGCCGCGCGGCTCCATGGGGTTGGGGATCAATCGTTGATTGATATTCGCTCGGAGACCACAACTTCGGCTTCTGCCGCGGCGGCCTCGTAATCGCCGGCGCCTACCGACCAGTCGAACGCCAGGTTACCCGGTGCGTCGTCGTGGACCACGGGCGCACCGTCTGCGGTGGCCTCTTCGGCGTTGGTGACGGCGTCTAGGGGTTCATAGTCGACCTCGACCAATGCAACCGCATCTGAGGCGGCCGCTGGGGAGTTGGCTACTACAGCGGCGACTGCGTCGCCGACGTAGCGGACTTTCTCGATGGCGAGTGGTGGGTGCTCCGGCGCCTTCATTCCGGTGGTTTCTTCATCGAGCAACCAACCGCCGGGTAGACTGCCGAGTTGTTCGGCTAGATCTGCGCCAGTGAATACCGAACCACGCCATCTGCGTTTGCCGCTGCCGAACATCGACGCGGTTTATCTTGGCGTGACCGTACGGGCTGCGGACGATGCGAGGTGGAGCAGTCCGGGTAATCGTAGATCGTCAACGTATCGGCCTCTACCGGTGATCAGCGCATGATCTTCTACGCGCTTGACCTCCTGGCCGATGAAGGTTCTGTTGTCATTTCTATGCGCCTCCCGAGATCGCGGCTGCGTGTTGGACCGCTTTGACGATATTGTGTTAACCAGTGCAACGACAGAGGTTGCCTCGTAAGCCGCTCCGGATCTCTGCTTCAGTCGGCGATGGGTTGCGTTCCAGAATCTGGACCGCGGTGATCATCATGCCGGGAGTGCAGAACCCGCACTGCAGACCGTGCTTCTCGCGGAATGCTTCTTGGATTGGATGCAACTCGCCGTTCGACGCCAATCCCTCGACCGTGGTCACGCTGCACCCGTCGGCTTGGACGGCGAACATTGTGCACGACTTGGTCGCATTTCCATCGACGAGAACGGTGCAGGCGCCGCAACTACTGGTGTCGCAACCCACGTGGGTGCCGGTGAGATCTAACTCGTCTCTGAGCACCTGCGATAGCAACGTTCTGGGAGGCACTTGCAGGCGGTGCGCCGTCCCGTTGATCGTTATCGTCACTTCTGCATTCATGGACATCTCCCTAGGGTTAAGATGGACGTTGGAAACTGACGCAAGTTTATCCGAAAAACTTCGACGCGAATCAGCGTGAGACGATTTCCGAGGGGAAGAATCGTGAAAATTAGCGGCGAATTCACTGTCAACGCGACTCGAGACAAGGTTTGGGAAACGCTAAACGACATAAGAAGCGCTAGGTTCGATGATTCCTGGTGCAAAAGGGTTGACGGAGGTAGGTCCCGACGAGTACACCGCTTCGATGGACCTCGGAATCGGTCCGATACGGACGAGTTTTAAGGGCAAGGTGCGGATTTCGGAGCGGGTTGAGCCCAACTCCTACAAGCTACAGGTTGAAGGAGATTCTCGGCACGGTTGGATGAACGGGACGGGGAAAATCGAGCTCGAAGATGTGACGGCTCACACGACATTAATCCGTGCGGACGGCGATCTAAACGTCGGCGGGATGATCGCCCGGGTGGGGCAGCGGATGCTACCGGGCATCTCGAAGCAGATGATGCAGACGTTCTTCACGAACGTCGAACGGCACGCCAAGAACCGTTAAGTTCAGAGTTTGTTGCCGTCGGCGTCGTAGGTGAAGCCCATGTCATCGACGCTTCGGCCGGAATCAATGGTGTAGCCAGCGGTTGCAATCTCGAGGCGGTTGCCGTCGGGGTCATCCACGAAGAAGTATCGCTGTCCGTTTGCCCGTTCGCCGGGCCCGGAGGTTATCTCGATACCGGCGGCATTTACGGCTTCGAGTGCAGCTTCGAGGTCGTCGACTTGTAGGGCGACGTGGAAGCCGGCTGGGTTGCCATCTCTGGGTCGATGAGATGAACCATTGCGCCGTCTTCAGCGCGTGTCCAGACGAGGGGGTTGCCTTCGATCTCGTGGGGATGACTTCGAGACCGATGAGGTCGCGGTAGAAGGCGATGGATGCGCCTCGGTCGTCGGTTGGGATTCCGACGTGGTTGATTTTCTCTACTTTGAAGCCGCCCATTTTATGCACCGTCTTTCAGTTGGACTATGAGTTCGATCTCGACTGCGATGTTGTTTGGTAGGCTACCCATTCCGACGGCGGATCGTGCGTGCTTGCCGTTGACTTCGCCAAAGACCGCGACCATGAGGTCTGAGAAGCCGTTGATGACGGCGGGTTGCTGGTCGAAATCGGGGAACCGTTGACCATACCGAGGGCCTTGACGCAGCGTTCGACGCCGTCGAGGCTGCCGATTTCGCGTTGAATGGAGGCAAGGAGCTGGATGCCGACGAGTTTTGCGGCTTCGTATCCCTCTTCTACTGAAAGGTCGGCTCCGAGTTTGCCGGTGATCATGTCGGGCGAGCTACCGCGCCGGGGTCCGTGCCCCGAAAGAAATAGGAGATTGCCTACCCGGACTGCAGGGACGTAGTTGGCGATTGGGTTTGACGGTGACGTGAGGTCGATGCCAAGTTCTTCAATTCGAGCGTCAGCTGACACGGTTGGGACTCCATTCATTGGGTGCTTCGAGAGCTTGCAAGTTAGCGACTCCATGTTAACGCGCGGGAACGGCGCGATGGGGGTGTCGCAACGAGTCGGTCAAGCGGTTTCGAGAATCGTCCTCAAGCGCGGAGACTACGGGAGGTTGTTTAGAACTGCGTTGCAGGATGCGGTCACGTGGAGGCCGTCGTTGGGATCGATTTCACCACCTGCGCCGTCGAGGTATCCCATCGCCCATTCGGCGGCTTGTTTGGCGTTTGCAGGAGTTGGATTTTCGAGGAAGATTGCGCAGGGGTTGTTTTCGTCTTCGTTGAAGCCTTGGAATTTCGTGACCGTGGGTGCTTGATTGAACCCTTCGAACGTGGTTGTGGTTGGCGCTGGCTTGAAACCTTCGAAAGTCTCGGCAGTGGGAGCTTGTTCGAAGCCTTCGAACTTGGTTGCAGACGGAGCAGGGGCGACTGTGGGGGCGGTCTCGATGGTTGGTGCGCGTTCGACGGTTGGGGCGGGGCGGAACCCGTTGTAGTCATCTTCGACCTCGAGGGATTCACAAGCGATCCATGTCAAGGTACCGACCAGCGATACTGCAAGAAGGAGATATTTGGCGGAAAAAACCGAATTGGTCATCTGCGAGCGATCCAATCGGTGCAGCATGTCGTTCGGCACGAGGTCTCAGGCTCCAGCGGTGGGAAGCAATAGTTTGATTGTCTTCGCGGCTCTTCGTCGCCCACGCACTCTGACGACATCACGATAGCTGCCCAACAGACGATCGAACTTCGCGTATCCAAGTCGCTTCACACTGAAACCCGGTTCCAGTTTTCTCATCGTTTGGTAAAGCTTGTCGGCTGGCACGACGCCGTGTTCGTCGATCGAAGCGGACATGGAGCGGATCAATAGTTTTCGGATTTCACCGCGGACGTTTTTGTCCATGCGTCTTCGTGCGACCTTTACGCCGCCGCGTTTGGTCCTGCGCGGCGTCAGTTGGTTGAACTTGTGCCTTATGTCTTTGTGGACAGCGTTGTCGATGGGAATGAACACGTCGGCGTGTTCATCGAGGCGGGTGAAGTTAGCTGTGCGCGTCGCCAGCGACGATCACAGTTTTGCCGAGTTCCCGCAGTCGATCGTAAAGGGCAGGAAATCTTGGTCTGACGAAACGACAGCGTAGGTTTCGACATCGAAATTGCGATTGTGCAGCAGTTCGATTGCTTCGATGACGAGTCTCACATCCGCCAGATTGCTTCCAGGGGCGAGGTTAGGTTGGTGCACCAACTCGAAACCGAGATCTACGAACGGGTCCCGAACCACACCGATCGTCCGATCCCAATCGCCGATCGCTCGCCTTCACGCACGATTGACTCGCATCTTGCAGGTCGGCGATAAGAGACTGGATCGATTCAATGTGGTTGATGTCTCCGCGTCGATGAGAACGGCGATGTTGGGTTTTTGGTCCAAGGTTAGAGGCACTCCTTAAAATGTTTTCATACAAATATACTACAACAACGAGGCAAATGGGCCACGACGTGGCGAAACGTGGCGAGGATGACGATGACGGAGGTTAATGGCGACGGACTAGCTCGCCGCTTACCCACTCGCCGAGATGTTTGGGTTGGGTTCGGTGGTGCGCAGATCAACTTTCCGGGATTTGGAGGAGGTAATGCGAGCCGCCCGAAGTGCGGCTATGATCTCATTTCCGGTTTCAGCCGTGAGGCGTAATTCGCCGCGTTCGAAGCGCTCAAGAATTTCGCGTTCTTCTGCGTCTAATTGTTCGTTCATTTTGTCCTCTCACCCATTTATCCTCTCACCCACAGATGCTAGTGTGTGTGGGGTGAGTTCGGTCATGGCGAATGGGTCAAGGCCAATGTTTCGCCCGATTTGCGCATCCATTTCGGTCGTTTTTCTTTGGATGCGGACGGGATTTGTAGGTCTGATCTAAACTCTGGAAACCCGAAGATCGTTTTAGTCCAACAGATATCCCGAGATATCGGGGCCTTCTTTGAGTTCATGGTATGCCGTCGTTATTTTGGCGACGTGCGCAATTGCCAACCCAACTCCAAATGGACCGGGAACGGTGCCCCAAGCATCGCACATCACACAACTTACCTCGAAATACCAATCATCATCACCATAGCGGGATCGTATGAATCCATGCAGCCGCGAGCGATGCCGTCCGCGTTCCGCGACCGCAAGTATTCCGACCAAAACTGGTAGGTTTGCCCATGCCGCGGATTCGAGCTTGCTATGCAAGTCTCGAAACTCTTTGCTGTCAAACCCGATTGTTTGAACAACAACAAATTTGTTTTTGCACAATTTCGTTTTTCCTCATTTTCGCATGTCATCGAGAGTTGGGCCGATCTGATCACTCAGGCAGATGCCTAACCTTTCAATCATGACAAAATGTATTCCGAAATATCTTCATCGTTAGCCGTTCGATGGTCTCGAGCATCTGTTTGGCGACGCAAGCAGCCGCTACGTCAACGGCGTGGATCCCAAGAATACGCCGCCAACGGTCGCACCGTCCACACTTGATCTCAACGATCCAATTTTCCCAACCTTCGTCGATCGATTCCAACCAATTCCTAATGGTTCCATCTTCCTCAGCGGCGTACATCAATCCATGTCGCACCAAGAGATTCGTAGATGCGGCGATCTGAAGTGACAGCTTGTGTCGCTCGAATTCTTCCTTGTCCAATCCGGTAGGATCGACGGCAACAAACGAATCTATGCACATTTTGTGGTGTTCCTTGAAATCACGCCGTTCAGCCGCTGGCGCTGATGTTGGGGTTGGGCTCGGTCATGCTGAATGGGTCTAGGGCAGCGTCTAGCGACTCCTCGTCCAAGTCGGTGCGGCGGAGAGCTACTTGGCGGATGGTTTCGCCGGTTTCGGATGCTTCGTGGGCGATTGCGGCGCGGGCGTCGTAGCCGACGATGGGGGCTAGGGCGGTGCAGATGGCGAGACCTTGGGCGACCATCGAGGGGCCGGTATCGGTGGCCTCGATGCCGGCGATGCATTGGCGTTGGAGGTTGGTGCAGGATGCGGCGAGGAGGTCGATGGATTCGAGGAGGTTGTGTGCGGCGACGGGCATCATGACGTTCAGTTCGAAGTTGCCGGACTGTCCGGCGATAGCGATCGTGGCGTCGTTGCCGATGACTTGGGCGCAGACCATTGTGGCGGACTCGGCGATGACGGGGTTGACCTTGCCGGGCATAATGGAGCTGCCGGGTTGGACCTCGGGCAGTGCGATCTCGCCGATGCCGGCACGGGGTCCGGAGCCGAGCCAGCGCAGGTCGTTGCAGATTTTCAACAGGCTCACGGCGACGGTCTTGAGT